TATTTAAATAGATATTTTTCTGGATGGTATTTATAGTCCGATTTTATATTTAGAATCGTCTTATAATTTCATTCAACTAATGAAATAATGTTGCGCAACCATTTTGTTGTTTGAATGAGGTTTTAAAATGATTTCGAATATAAGATCGGATATAAGATTATAAACACCATCCTATATTCAATGATCTTATCTGGACTTTATCTGGATAGAAAAAGATATCCAGAGGGCATTGTTGGGATCTAATTTAATCATATGTAGGATATCCCAGGGATATCCCAGGGATTTATTTTTGGATGTCCTACGAATATCTGAAAAGTGGACATTCGGATATCTCACGGATGCCCTACGGATATCCTACGGCTTTGTACAGACATTCCAGGGATATCTGAAAATCCTTTACATTACATCCCACGGACATCCGTAGGATAAAATTTTGCTATGTGGGACTACTCACCACATACTTTATACGATTAAAAACGATTTTTGAAAACCACTTTAAAAATATATTCTCCATGCATTAGACTTTCAAAAAATGCAAAAAAATTGATTTTTTTATCATTTTAATGAGATTAACCTCTTAAGATATGGATTTGGCATCGTAATATGTCCAGCAAATACAGAACATTGCAGCAATATTGCTGCATTGTTCTGTGTGTTTGCTGAAATCTCCTTTTACCGGATATATAGAGAAATATGTAGTTTTAAATTACATCTTTAATTTGATATTGGTTGCGTTCCGTTTCGCACATTATGCGCACGAATTACATAGAAAACGTTCCGTTTCACTCAATGCGCGCATGAACAGCGCTTAGAATTCCCTAGATCCCCACCACCTGCAGCGCATAATACACGCATCAGCTATCTCAAGTTTGAGTTGCAGCAGCTTATGCGTTCCATGCGATTGCGTAATTGCATATGGCGATTGATAGCGATAAGGCGGGAGCACAGACTTTTGCATAAAGCATAACGCATAAGCATAAGGAAATTGATTGGTCCGTTTCCTTATGCATTTGCTTATGCTTATATATAGACCAATCAATTTCCTTATGCTT